AGTGACACTGGTCTGTAATTTAGTGCCTCCTATATATACCTTTTTTTAATGTTGGAACTAAGTTTGGCTTTTTTTTCCATAATTCCTCCTTTATGTCCTCCTGCTTCTCCTGTACCCCTGGGGCAGTGGTACACTTGCTCTGTGGCTCCACAGACACACCTGACTTGCTCCGTGGCTCCACACACACACCTGACTTGCTCTGTGGCTCCACAAGCACACCTGACCTGCTCTATGACTCCACAGACACACCTGACTTGCTCTGTGGCTCCACAGACACACCCGACTTGCTCCGTGGCTCCACACACACACCTGACTTGCTCTGTGGCTCCACAAACACACCTGACCTGCTCTATGACTCCACAGACACACCTGACTTGCTCTGTGGCTCCACAGACACACCTGACGTGCTCTGCAGCACCTGGCTTGCTCTGTGGCTCCACAGACACACCTGACTTGCTCTGTGGCTCCACAAACACACCTGACCTGCTCTGTGGCTCCACAGACACACCTGACTCGCTCTGTGGCTTCACAGACACACCTGACTCGCTCTGTGGCTCCACAAACACACCTGACTTGCTCTCTGTAATCACCTGGTAAATACTCTCACCAAAACAAACGTTTACCTTGTGTAGCTGAGCACACCTGTGTAATTAACTGGCAGGTCAGGTGAGGAAAGGAACCTCTTTATTAAGAAAGACGCAGGTGTTCTTGAAATGTTCTTGAAAATGTTCTCTCGTCTCCTTGAAATGTTCTCTCGTCTCCTTGAAATGTTCTCTCGTCTTCTCCAACCAAATTGTTGGTATTTGATAAAGTATATAAAGGTGAAGCGATGAGGCAGTACCTGTACCGGATAATGAGGCAGTACCTGTACCGGATAATGAGGCAGTACCTGTACCGGATAATGAGGCAGTACCTGTACCGGATAATGAGGCAGTACCTGTACCGGATAATGAGGCAGTACCTGTGCCGGATAATGAGGCAGTACCTGTACCGGATAATGAGGCAGTACCTGTACCGGATAATGAGGCAGTACCTGTACCGGATAATGAGACAGTACCTGTACCGGATAATGAGACAGTACCTGTACCGGATAATGAGGCAGTACCTGTACCGGATAATGAGACAGTACCTGTACCGGATAATGAGACAGTACCTGTACCGGATAATGAGGCAGTACCTGTACCGGATAATGAGGCAGTACCTTTACCGGATAATGAGACAGTACCTGTTAATGAGGCAGTACCTGTACCGCATAATGAGGCAGTACCTGTGCCGGATAATGAGGCAGTACCTGTACCGGATAATGAGGCAGTACCTGTACCGGATAATGAGGCAGTACCTGTACCGGATAATGAGGCAGTACCTGTACCGGATAATGAGACAGTACCTGTACCGGATAATGAGACAATACATGTACCGGATAATGAGACAATACCTGTACCGGATAATGAGACAATACATGTACCGGATAATGAGACAGTACCTGTACCGGATAATGAGACAATACATGTACCGGATAATGAGACAGTACCTGTACCGGATAATGAGACAATACATGTACCGGATAATGAGACAATACATGTACCGGATAATGAGACAGTACCTGTACCGGATAATGAGACAGTACCTGTACCGGATAATGAGACAATACCTGTACCGGATAATGAGACAATACATGTACCGGATAATGAGACAGTACCTGTACCGGATAATGAGGCAGTACCTGTACCGGATAATGAGGCAGTACCTGTACCGGATAATGAGGCAGTACCTGTACCGGATAATGAGACAGTACCTGTACCGGATAATGAGGCAGTACCTGTACCGGATAATGAGGCAGTACCTGTACCGGATAATGAGACAGTACCTGTACCGGATAATGAGGCAGTACCTGTACCGGATAATGAGGCAGTACCTGTACCGGATAATGAGACAGTATAAGTATTGGTCAAAATACTGGCATCGATACACCTCTAAAAGTAAAGTCAATAAATGTGATTAGTTAATAAAGACTAGACAAAATGAGTAAATATGACTAGTGAAGAGTGTCATGCCTTTGATGATGGCAAAGCGAGTAATATCGATGTTATTGATGTGTTCTGTGTTCTATAGAACATTGGCTGTTCTATATATATGAGCCCAGGTGGTGTTGAGTTCTATATTCGCAAATTTATCAATCTTCCGGTTACTTAACTTTACTTCAGAAAACTCTTTCTGAAAGAATAACAACAGCAGGAGCAGTTGCGAGCACTGTTGTTATTACGACCAATAGATGGCGCCCACATCACATGCTAAGCGCTGTCTGGCAACCCCAGGGGCTATACGTCTCATTATTTTATTTTAGTTTCATTTTTTCCTCTCTTGGACCCCTTTGTGTGCCTGATGCAGTTGCCAAGAGCCATTCACCACGTGAACTTGTGGCCAGACTTAAAAAAAAAATTATCCTGCAGAATTCTGAGAAAAGAAGCAGAAAGTATCTTGATTTTTTTTTGAATTTTTGAATTATATAATGGTCTTTGCGGGTATATTTTGAATTTCGTCAAAGGCTGGTTTGATTAATTAGGAGCATCGGGTTGGGGAGGGGCATAGGGCGGAACACCTATGCCTTTCCGGCATAGGTTTCTGGGCGGACGTGTCCTCCTCCAGCGGTAAAACGCAGGGAACAGATAGGGTCCCATTTCTCACCTCGCAAAAACATACAGGCACCTGTTGCTCGTGGGAGATGGGCACCTGTTGCTCGTGGGAGATGGACACCTGTTGCTCGTGGGAGATGGGCACCTGTTGCCCATCTCTCCCAAGTATAGACCATAATTTAAGCCTGATGTGTTTTACAACATTCCAATCCCTGTATCGGGATGGGCCGGGCAGCTGAGTGGACAGCGCTTCTGATTCGTAGTCCTGAAGTTCCGGGTTCGATCCCCGGTGGAGGTGGAAACAAATGGGTAGTGTTTTTTTCACCCTGATGCCCCCTGTTCACCTAGCAGTAAATAGGTACCTGGGAGTTACGTTACGGGCTGCTTCCTGGGGGTGTGTAATAAAAGGGAGGACCGGGCCGCGGGGAGGCTAAGCCCCGAAATCATCTGAAGATAACCTGTCTGTTGTCATATTTCAGTCCCTGTCTGTTTTCCGTTGTCATATTCCAGTCCCTGTCTGTTTTCCGTTGTCATATTAATAAAGTCCCTGTTTTCTGTTGAAATATATACCACACATCTCTGTCATATTCTCACGCATCTTCTCTCGCTCAGAGCAATAAGGCTGTTGATTCTCTCAAGAGTCTGACCGAAAACATTGCAAAACGCAACAGTTGAAGTTGTTAAGACCTTGACGGAACTTGATAATAGTTAGCCCTTGACGGAACTTGATAATAGTTAGCCCTTGACGGAACTTGATAATAGTTAGCCCTTGACGGAACTTGATAATAGTTAGCCCTTGACGGAACTTGATAATAGTTAGCCCTTGACGGAACTTGATAATAGTTAGCCCTTGACGGAACTTGATAATAGTTAGCCCTTGACGGCCAAACTTCCGCGTGCGAGTGACAAAAACTTATAATGTCGCTCCCGGAAGACGGTCCTCAAAATTAAATAGTGGAAGATGCTATCACAAAATGAATTAACATTGACCAAAATGTTTTTCCAGTCATTATTTTTTATTTCAAAATGTTTTTATTTTTCGAGGAGGATTGACTAGGCGGTAATCCTGTTATGGGTTAAACGATTTGGCAGGTCGTCTTCATAGCTCGAAACGCTATGCGTGATTGTGTTATCTTGATGTTATCTTGAGATGATTTCGGGGCTTTAGTGTCCCCGCGGCCCGGTCCTCGACCAGACCTCCACCCCCCAGGAAGCAGCCCGTGACAGCTGACTAACTCCCAGGTACCTATTTACTGCTAGGTAACAGGGGCATGGGGTGAAAGAAACTCTGCCCATTGTTTCTCGCCGGCGCCTGGGATCGAACCCAGTCGCTTTACAAGAGTCGCTTTACAATAGTCGCTTTACAAGAGTCGCTTTACAAGAGTCGCTTTACAAGAGTCGCTTTACAAGAGTCGCTTTACAAGAGTCGCTTTACAAGAGTCGCTTTACAAGAGTTGCTTTACAAGAGTCGCTTTACAAGAGTTGCTTTACAAGAGTTGCTTTACAAGAGTTGCTTTACAAGAGTCGCTTTACAAGAGTCGCTTTACAAGAGTCGCTTTACAAGAGTCGCTTTACAAGAGTCGCTTTACAAGAGTCGCTTTACAAGAGTCGCTTTACAAGAGTCGCTTTACAATAGTCGCTTTACAAGAACGTAAGAAGTCTTGTAATATATACGTAAAACAAAAATTATTCCACGTTTCAATTTTTGTACAGTATTTTATTTTTTCTATGACGAAAGAGTTGGTTGAGTTTCTTGCCCTCATAGTTTCCCTATGACAATGAACTATGGACCAGAGCTACAACATTCCCAGCGCTACCGACACTATAAATTAACGTGAACATTGTTGTAAATCTGTTACTTAAATGGTAGATGAGTTTAATGCTTAGAAATACAAATCGGAAAGAAAGTGTTTAATTCAGTACCTTGGATGACTGCCACAAGACAGTTACTAAAGAGTATTGACAGAGTATTGCTAAGTGTGGGAGGCAGAGTGCTGTGGTGATATCGAGAGTGATGTAAGCGCTCTTGAGTTACGGACGGATGTTGCCAATAGTGGGAGGCTAAGTGATCTAAACAAACATTAACGTTCGATTGATTGATTGATGAAGATTAAGCCACCCAAAAGGTGGCAGGGGCATGAATAGCCCGTAAGTGGTGGCCCTTTGGAGCCATTACCAGTATCTAGAGCTGATACTGGAGATCTGTGGAGGTGCGACTGCACCCTGCGTGACGGGAGATGTCTCCCGTGTGTTGATCCACGTTCATCACAATCCGCAATATATATTCTGGCGTTCGAGGCAATGGGTTAGCATTTTTGGATTGATAAAGGAAGCGTAAAGTACTACTGAAGCGGGAGATGCACTAACCTGTGGTGGAGGGTTCGGAGAAGGATCCCCTGAAGGGTCCCGGGGAGGGGGTGGTGGTGCGGGAGTCGCCCCCATACTCGCTGCCTGCTGCGCTGCCTACAGGAGTGGTGTCCCCAGAGCCCATCCTCCTGGGGAAGAGGGGCGACGACTCTCCCAACCCACGCCGGGGCGACAACGGTGACACCGTCGGGGGAACGGTGAAGGCGACCTCCCGGGACCTGTAGCGGAGGGGACAGGAGAGTTAGACACCGACGGTGAACGTAATCCCTCACCGCAACACAGTGCTTAGTCAGGGCCTCCTAGGCCTCCTAGTTAAACCTTAGTCAGGGCCTCCTAGTTAAACCTTAGTCAGGGCCTCCTAGGCCTCCTAGTTAAACCTTAGTCAGGGCCTCCTAGTTAAACCTTAGTCAGGGCCTCCTAGTTAAACCTTAGTCAGGGCCTCCTAGACTACTCTTGGGGACTCTCCTTACCCCAGTTCACCGCCTGCAAACTGGCCGTATGGCATGAAACACTAGATTGATGAAGATTAAGCCACCCAAAAAGGTGGCACGGGCATGAATAGCCCGTAAGTGGTGACCCTTTTGAGCCATTACCAGTATCAAGAGCTGATACTGGAGATCTGTGGAGGCGCGACTGCACCCTGCGTGACGGGAGATGTCTCCCGTGTGAAACACTAAACATTTATTGGTATAAATGTTCAGTATTTCATCCACCACGCGACAGGTATCATAGAAAACGTTTCGAGAGCTAAAGGTTTGTTTTCTCTTATACTGTTCTGGGGAAGCTACTGCAGAATTATTGATTACCTAATTAAAGGGGATTTATTTTAATTTAAATGCGTAAAATTAAATATTTCTAATGTGAGTAAATTACGAATAGTGTTTTTTTATATTTGTAGGTAAGTCAAAATAATGAACATTGAGTTGGATCACTTTGTTGTCAAAATTGCGCAATAATTGGTTAATTATTAGTTTATTTACTCTTCTTTTGTGATATTATTGTTTATCCTCTGATAACCCTACGTCACCAACAATTTCCTCTCTCTCACACACACACACACACACACACACACACACACACACACACACACACACACACACACACACACACACACACACACACACACACACTTTTTAAGGTCCGATTAAGACCTTTTGTGCCCTCTGCAATCCCTTTTTTTGCGCTACCGCTCACAGAATGGCAATGGGGTGCACAATAACCCAACTGCCTACGGAGGCAATTCAATTTCTTTATTATGCACCCCATACCCATCCCGTGGGCGGTGGTGGAAAAGGTTGGAGACAAGAAGGAAAAAATCCACAAGGGCTTAATTACTGGTCAGCTGTACATAGTTAAGGGCTAATGTAAACTAATGTAAACTCCATATATACACCGAGCATCCCGGTAAGCCTCCCGGTATATACGAATGAAACAAATGTTGTTGAATAACATGAACCAACTTAAGATGCATGTGATTGGCCAGTTCTCCAGGGAAGACGGCACTGTGATTAGCAAAATGATTGGTCCAATGGAAAAGTTATTGCCCCTCTATTGACGCAAAGTTGAACTAGTAAAACAAAGTCCTTAAAAAAATTTGCATAAAAGGTGAATCAGGTATAGGAGAATACCTTCAGGCTTCCTTCCTAACAACCTTCGTGATGTAACTACTTGCGAGGAGCTACATGGTGCTTAGTGAATCTAGGTCAAGGCTCGTAAAAATGCCATAATCCATCATTATCGAACCCACCGTGTGGGCGTGACCCACCGCGTGGGCGTGACCCACCGTGTGGGCGTGACCCACCGTGTGGGCGTGATCACACCGTGTGGGCGTGACCCACCGTGTGGGCGTGACCACACCTGACAACGGGGCAGAGACCCGTAACATTGAACCGTCACCTTCCCCCCTACCCTTTTTTCTTGGTTCCGAGGATCAACGTCCCCGCGGCCCGGTCTCTGACCAGTCCACTCACTGGATCACCTCAGCAACCAGGGGAAAATTGATCGAGAGGCGCAGTTCATTAACTACAACCCACTGAGCCTGATTTTATATATATATATATATATATATATATATATATATATATATATATATATATATATATATATATATATATATATATATATATATATATATCGTACCTAGTAGCCAGAACGCACTTCTCAGCCTACTATGCAAGGCTCGATTTGCCTAATAAGCCAAGTTTTCATGAATTAATGTTTTTTCGACTACCTAACCTAACCTAACTTTTTCGGCTACCTAACCTAACCTAGCCTATAAAGATAGGTTAGGTAGGGTTGGTTAGGTTCGGTCATATATCTACGTTAATTTTAACTCCAATAAAAAAAATTGACCTCATACATAATGAAATGGGTAGCTTTATCATTTCATAATAAAAAAATTAGAGAAAATATATTAATTCAGGAAAACTTGGCTTATTAGGCAAATCGGGCCTTGCATAGTAGGCTGAGAAGTGCGTTCTGGATACTAGGTACGACATATATATATATATATATATATATATATATATATATATATATATATATATATATATATATATATATATATATATAATATATATATGGTTAAATGGTTTGGTGTTGTGCTTCAATCCCATCTTCCGCGGCAGGTGTATTAAGGCCTATACCAATCCCGGCAGGTGTATTAGACCAATACTGACTAAGCTTCGCTTACTAACTACACAGCAAGAATACTTTAACCCTGAACATAGTTCAAGACCAAAGTAAACTCAGTGAGTATTCCGCGAGAAGCGGTGGTTAACCTCTTTGTGAGTATACCGCTTGTTATGGGTAGTTAATGAACCACCAAGACAAACAGCTGTTCATGGTGGTCGTTTGAGAAGTTTCTCGGGGCAGGAGGAAATGTAGGAATGATTACTTAATGTATTTAATGCTTAAATCATTCTAGTCAAACACGCGGCATATATTATATTGATGTTATTAAAGCTGTGACTTATATAAGTGTTTTGTCTCATCACAGAGACGGTGGATTCGGCGACCGGGAGAGAGAAGTGGGTAAGTACATCCTGATACATTTTGCCACACACAACAGCATGAGAGATCGCTAATTTATCTCCAGGCTCCACAATTGTCTGGAATTTAGGGGTATTACGGGGTTCTGAATAGCCGTCAATTTATTTCCAAAATGTAACAAAATGCAGATTTTTTTTTCTATTAAATTCCCCCAGACGAATTCTTGTGTTCCACTGATCTGTTGGTGATGCATGGGGAATGTGGACTTGATTGATGACATTCCTAGTAGATGAAATTGGTCTGTTATAACAATGTCCTGAATGGAGACCAAGGCCAGGAATCGTCCAGCATCTACGCACCACTTACGAAGCCTCTACATCATGCCTCTAGGGGCTTGACAGCTGAGTGGACAGCGCTCGGGATTCGTAATCCTAAGGTTCCGGGTTCGATCCCCGGTGGAGGCGGAAACAAATAGGCAGAGTTTCTTTCACCCTGATGCTGATATTCACCTAGCAGTAAATAGGTACCTGGGGCGTCAGACAGCTGTTACGGGCTGCTTCCTGTGGGGGGGGGGGGGGGGTGTAACGAAAAGGAGGCCTGGTCGAGGACCGGGCCGCGGGGACGCTTAGTCCCGAGATCATCTTAGGATAACCTGGAGCCGGTGGCTGAGCAGACAGAACACTGGACGCATGATCCTGTGGTCCCGGGTTCGATCCCGGGCGCCGCCGAAAAACAATGTGCAGAGATTCTTTCACCCTATGCCCCTCTTACCTAGCAGTAAATAGGTACCTGGGAGTTAGTCAGCTGTCACGGGCTGCTTCCTGGGGGTGGAGGCCTGGTCGAGGACCGGGCCGCGGGGACACTAAGCCCCGAAATCATCTCAAGATAACCTCAAGATAAGAATCATTCCTCAATCATAGCAGCTTAATTATATAAACAACCTCGTAGGTCTTCAGACTTTATAAAATTGTTTAATAAACGTAAACAAAGCCGCAATAATTGAGGAAAGATGTACAGGTTTCGCAAGTGTAGCCAGGACCAGGATAGGAAATAGGACCAAGATAGCTTCGCAAGTGTAGCCAGGACCAGGATAGGAAATAGGGCCAAGATAGCTTCGCAAGTGTAGCCAGGACCAGGATAGGAAATAGGACCAGATAGCTTCGCAAGTGTAGCCAGGACCAGGATAGGAAATAGGGCCAGATAGCTTCGCAAGTGTAGCCAGGACCAGGATAGGAAATAGGGCCAAGATAGCTTCGCAAGTGTAGCCAGGACCAGGATAGGAAATAGGACCAAGATAGCTTCGCAAGTGTAGCCAGGACCAGGATAGGAAATAGGGCCAAGATAGCTTCGCAAGTGTAGCCAGGACCAGGATAGGAAATAGGGCCAAGATAGCTTCGCAAGTGTAGCCAGGACCAGGATAGGAAATAGGACCAGATAGCTTCGCAAGTGTAGCCAGGACCAGGATAGGAAATAGGGCCAAGAATAGCTTCGCTCTCCTGTGTCTTTGAGTCCTGCCTCTCTTAATGTTTCACCCACATATTATAAATACAATTAATTGCCAGTAGAGCCAGAGAACACCTAACATAACCAATTCTAGACCAAACTATACCCACAAATATAATAATATTAGTTTATGTTTAGGAAAATGAATTGAGTTTTAATTAAGAAGATGAAGGGATGGTTGAAGCTTGGAGCGGCATTGTCTGATTGCTTTTTATTGTTGGCACTGAAGGGTGCAGTTGTGCACCCCTATACTGACCTGGGGCCAGATTCACGAAGCAGCTACGCAAGCACTTGCGAACCTGTACATCTTTTCTCAATCTTTGGCGGCTTTGTTTACAATTATTAAACAGTTAATGAGCTCCGAAACACCAAGAGGCTGTTTATAACAATAACAACAGTTGATTGGCACGTTTTCATGCTTGTAAACTGTTTAATAAATGTAACCAAAGCCGTCAAAGATTGAGGAAAGATGTACACGTTTGTAAGTGCTTGCGTAACCGCTTCGTGAATCTGGCCCCTTGTGAGCGGTAGCGCAAAAACGACCAAAGAGTGCACAAAAGGTCCTTATCACATTGCGGGAATGGCCACACTAACAATGATATCTAACCTGCACACATGATAATGACGGTGCCCCACGAGGGGTTGAAATACAGATCACCGCCAGTGGTGAAGGATAGGGGGGGGGGTAGAGATGAGGGGACTGGGGTAGAGGTGAGGGAGGGGT